GATTTCATCCACTTCAAAAATCTGTACATCAGTTATTGTGAGAGTATAAACTTTTGGAGGCATCTATTAGCATGTTTCTTCATGTTTTCAGAGATTCTATTTCTGTACTGTCGTGGATTCTTGTTTTTCTGTTACATGAGAGTATTTTATTGAGCACTTTTCCCTTTGCAATCTATCCTAAACTGGGGATATATCTTAACATCAAAACATCCAATCAGCATAATCAAGATTCAAAGTTTATGGGCTAGGGTTATGGCCCAGTGGTAGAGCACTTGCCTCTCATGGGTGAGACACTAGGTTCAATTCTCAGCACTGCATATAAATAAATAAATAAATAATAAAGATCCACCAACAACTAATTAAAAAAAAAAAAAGATTCAAAGTTTGCTTAACTACCAGTACTGCTTTGAGAGGAGAGTGTTTAACTTCCAGTTATAGTTATAACTTAATAGCAAAGTATATAACAACCTATATTTTAAAATCACTAATAATCTCTTCAGTACTATTAACCAATGAGAAAAGTGGGTAAGAAATAATATAGATGAGGCTCAAAAGTTAAACATTAAAATAGTATACTTAGTACTGAATTGTATTGGAAAAGGGTCAGRGAGAGAAGGAAGACAGAAGAGAAAATGAGGAGAGAAGGAAGGATGAAAGAGAGCAGAAGGGAAAAGAGATGAGAAAGAAGAAAATAGGTATAGAGGCAAAAATCCAACTAATTGAAAAATACGTAAAGTTAGAATCTCGATAAAACAAATAATGAGGAAAGACAATATAAAACACTGCACACAAAATAGCTAATACAACAATCTAGAATGATTCCATTTTCTCCTTGCTGAGGTTTTAAAAATGAAGACACTTCCTCCCTAGGATTCCATTTTGGAGTCCCCTAGCCATGAGAAGATTTGTGGGACATATTTATTTTACTGTTTGTTCGTTCTTAGTTCCTCTTAGTTCCGACCCCAAACTGGCCAAACTTGTTAGGGAAGTCTGGATGCTCATCTCCACCCACTCCTTGCCTACCAGCATGTATTGGGGCAGTTTATCTATTTCAAAGCAGAATTCACAGTCAGTATGGTTGTATATTTGTATGTRGGGATGAGAGTGCAATCCTGGCCAGCCCTCTCATCTGTGGAACCTCTAGGTCAATCTTGTTCAGAAAACCTCACTCCAAGTGCTGTGGGGAGGTACATGGGAAGTACCCAGGTCAAGTCAGCAGATTCTCCAGACACTTCTGAGTATGGGGGATACAGTGTAGTCCTTTGGGTAGCAGCTTTCCACCCAATGCTGATTTACCCAGTTCTAGTCCCTGGGGAACTTGCTCCTTATCACATAGTTCAGACCACCAGTATTAAATGAAAATGCCCTTCCCTCTTCTCCACTGTGGAGACCTGTAGACTGTTAGCTTTGACTCCAGTTACTACCCAGAGATTTTCCTAAATCCATGTTATAGTCTCACTCCTGAATCCAGATTGACTCATGGCTTGGGTGCCCATTACTCTAGTGAAAAGTAAAAGCATAAGTTGCTGTTGGGTGTTGGATACACAAAAAAGAAAGACAACTAAGAATAAGAGAAACAAAATTTTAAAAATATAAAAGAAAAAAAAAGAAAACTGCAGGGATTTCTAATCTTCTGCTTAGACAGTCCAAAGAGTCTTAAGTTGGCTCTGATTTCCCACTTTCATTAAATCTTCTGGGAAGTATCAGGACTCTTTCCTATTCCAGCTCACTTCACAGAATTTGAGTATTTTTCCTACTCAGATTGTAAATTTTTTGGACAGTGGAGCTTGCTTTTCTTAAACTCACTGGGAAACTTTCTTTCCGTTGTTGGGGAAAGCTTGCCTTCTCACAGTGAGTCACCACTTGCTTGGCACTGCTACATTCTATTCCTTTTATTGATTCTCTATTTCAGAAACCAATATTTCTGGTTTTCACCTGAGTGCTAGCTCTGAGTTTCTTTCCCAAAACCTTTCTATCTCATCATTGCTGCCACAGAACTATAGTTTTGATTCAGTCTTGGAGAATAGCTTCTGTATAGTGGATTTCTCCAGTCTGCCATTTTCAGGTGTCATCTTTTTCATTTTATTTTCAAGTTGTATTATCATTATGATATAGATCATAATTCACTTTTGGTGTTTTTCATTTCTTTGTACTACTTGTTCATATAGCCAGTAAATTCTTTTTCACAGGATTTGTCAATATATACCATTTTGTCAACTGTAAGAACAACTGATACAATTATTTTCATAATATTTTAATTCAAATTACTCTCACCATCATTTTTAAAAATATTTTTAAAAATTTTCAGTTGTAGTTGGACATAATACCTTTATTTTATTTATTTATATGTGGTGCTGAGGATCGAACCCAGGGCCTCGCATGTGCTAGGTGAGCACTTTACTGCTGAGCCACAACCCCAGCCCCTCACCAGCATTTTTTTTAAACTTTTTTTGTAGTTGTAGATAGACAGAATGCCTTTATTTTATTTGTTTATTTTTATGTGGTGCTGAGGATCGAACCCAGTGTCTCACACATGCTAGGCAAGCACTCTGCCACTGAGCTATAGTCCCAGTCTTCTCACCAGCATTTTTAGTAGTCTTTAAAATTTTATGTTCCAGTGCTTTCCCATGAAGCATAAAATTGACTGCTGATATTAAATCTATGTTCCCTTCCTTTAAAAGGTATTTATGCAGACTGAATGTCCGTGGTTTCCAGTAATTTGGCTCTTAGAAACTAGAATAAAATGGTGCCATTTAAAATGAGAGCCAAAGGAGCTGGGATTGTGGCTCAGCAGTAGAGCACTTGCCTAGCACGGGTGAGGCCCTTGGTTTGATCCTCAGCACCACATATAAATAAAYAGATAGATAGATAGATACATACATACATAAAATTGTGGCCAACTACAACTAAAAAATAAATTTAAGAAAATGAGAACCAGAGCTGGGTGCCATGATACACAACTGCAATCCCATTGACTCAGGAGATTGAGACAGGAGGATCACAA